TTAAATAATATTTAAACAATACATGTTAGTTTATTAATTTTTTCACAGCAGACATTCCAGCGACTTATACCATACCATACCACTTTATTTATAAAGCACTTAAAACAGTTACAAGGCCAACCAAAGTGCTGTACAGACAGAACAACAGGTAACACACAAAGCAAAATACAAAATGAGGTAAATCAGAATATAGACATAAAAACGATGCAGATAATGACGACAAACCAGTGTGGAGCATACAGGATCAAAACACAGATCATCTGGTGTTGAAAGCTACTGAATAGTAGTGAGTTTTTAAGCGGGACTTGAAAACCGAGAGGGAGGGGGCCTGTCTGACAAGCAGAGGTAACTCGTTCCAGAGTCTTGGTCCTGCTATAGAGAAGGCCCTGTCACCTCTGCGCTTAAGACGAGTTCCTGGAACTGTGAGGAGCCACTGGTCCGTTGACCTCAAGGAACATGGTGGGACATACGGTTGTAGCAGATCAGAGAGATGGGGGGTGGGGGCAAACTGTTCAGTGATTTGTAGACATACATGAGTATTTTGAACTGGATTCTAAGGTGAACTGGTAACCAGTGCAGTGAGGCCAAAACTGGTGTAATGTGCTCTCTTTTGCCTGTACTGGTTAAAAATTGGGCTGTTACATTCTGGACCAGTTGTAGTCGTGCAATGGAGGTCTGACTGATGCCAAACAGGAGTGAATTGCAGTAATCAAGCCTAGATGTAATGAATGCATTTATTACTGTCTCAAGGTTCTTTTTGGACAATATGAGCTTCAGTTTAGACAGCCGCCTCAGTTGGAAGAAACATGATTTCACAATCATGTTTACATGATTAAGCTTCAGGGAAGTGTCCATTATCACGCCCAGATTAGTGACTCTTTGTTTTTCTGACAGGGTTAGAGAGGAGAGGTCGATACAGTGGTTTGTGATTGTGTCGTTGGGAGGGAACAACATGACTTCAGACTTCTTTTCATTGAAACTCAAGAAATTTAAAGCCATCCAGTCCCTGATGTCAGCCAGGCAGTCGAGCAGCGGTTGAATAGAGCATGTACCATTGTGTCTTAGGGGGAAGTAAATTTGACA